TCATTCGGTACTGTGTTACGTTATCCGCAACCGATGGAGGTACGAGTCTGGCTAAGCCGACGTCACTAATCTTACTAACAAAGTTACGATCGAGCAAAATATTAGCTGGTTTGAGATCACGATGCACGAGTGGCTCTGGCTTTGTTTGGTGTAGGAACAACAATGCTGTTCCAATTTCACCTGCAATTTGAAACCTGAGCTGCCACGAAAGTGGAGGCGTGTTTCCTCGTTGTAGAAGTCGATCTTCTAAGCTCCCATTAGCCATGAACTCGTAGACCAAGCAGCCGTACTCGGGGCACGCTCCGAGGAGGAGCACCATGTTTGGATGGCGTATACAGCTAAGTACTTCTACCTATGAATCGTTATATTAGATAAAGTTATGAGACCTCTTAGACGTTCTAAAACATGGAAGTTATTCGGTAACATACCTCTTGTTTAAACTGCGATCGTCCTTGAGTTGCATCGGGACGTAAAACCTTAATGGCAACAGGAGTATGATCAAGATCACACTTGTAAACTGGACCATAACCGCCTTCTCCGATCTTACGAGATTCAGCAAAGAATTCCGTTGCCTCTTCGATCTCCTCGATCGTATACTTTCTATACCTGATATCGTTTTGTGACAATGCATCAATAGCCCTTTTCTTTTCTTCAGCTTCTTTGTGAGCTTTCATTTCAGCCTTCATTCTTTTCTGTGCTTCCAATTCTGCTATCCTCCTAGCTGCCTCTGCTGCCTCGATGGCTGCTTTCGACTTCGCCTTCTCCTGTTCGGCCAGCGCCAATGCAGCTTCCCCGGCCAATCTCGCCTCTTCTATTCTTTGTTCTTCTTCTAATTTCCAGCGTTGCAGCTCGACCGCCTGCATCTCGAAACATAGATATCATGAAACAGCCATCGAAAGCTGGTCTCGATATCGATCCGTGTTAATCGATCGGTTTGTCTTACCTTTTGTTTTGCTGTAAGTGCTTCCTTGCAGGCTGTGCTGTACATTTCCATGGTTTGCTTGAGTTCTAGCTTGAGCCTACGCATCTCAGCCTCCACATCTTCCTGCACCATCATATAAAAGTTCATATATAAGTTCATATAAAAGTTCATATATAAGTTCATATAAAAGTTCATATATAAGTTCATATAAAAGTGCATATAAAACAAAGCTTTATTGCATCAAATGAATGGAACCATAGGCAATAATGTGGCTCAAAATTTACCAAAGACTGTGATGAGATTGACAATCTATCACTATCTTGCGAGATCGAAGAGAACTCGGACGGGAAGTTCATATCCATCGATAACCGTCCCATCGGTAGAGACTCGAAGCTCTGAGTCAAGTCAAGATCTGTACTACTCGACATCCGTGGTGGGGTGGCTCTTCCTCCCATATCTAGGCTGTCATAAACTGAAGGAAATATACGATCAATGCTCGGTCTTCCTGAGCTAACATACGATATATCTGATTCTTGAAAAGACGAATCTCCATACGACGGTTTGTAATTGTATCCTTTCCTTGTGAAGGGTGACCTGATTTCAACGACGTTTTGCTCATCAGTATGCCTAACAAAGACAAAGTATGCCTAACAAAGTAAGAATGTAACAGCCTAGGCCCACCGCAAGCAGATATTGTCCTCTTTGGGCTTTCCCTCAAGGTTTTTAAAACGCGGCTTCTAGGGAGAGGTTTCCACACCCTTATAAAGGGTGTTTCGTTCTCCTCCCCAACCGATGTGGGACATCACAATCCACCCCCTTTCAGGGTCCAGGGTCATCGCTGGCACTCGTTCCTTTCTCCAATCGATGTGGGACCCCACCAAACCCACCTCCTTTCGTGGTCCAGCGTCCTTGCTGGCACATCACCCAGTGTCTAGCTCTGATACCATTTGTAACAGCTCAGGCCCACCACTCGCAGATATTATCCTCTTTGGGCTTTCCCTTTCGGGCTTTCCCTCAAAGTTTTTAAAACGCGTCTGCTAGGGAGAGGTTTCCACACCCTTATAAAGGTTACTAAGTTAACAACTTAAGTTTTAACGTCTATTTGAACGATGTATAGGGTCACTCTCACCTCATGAAATCCGCCTCATCCTGCGATCTACGTGGCAGAACAAAGGGACGTTTATCCAAAGAGGCTGCTAACAAATTCAACGTTAGTTTCATGGAGAATATTGGGACAACCAACAAGCATATAAGGTAAAAGGAAACTGGTTTGAAAGAAGTTAACCTCTTGCAGATGTAGTCTGAGGAAATTGGTAGTCGGAGCTGATGGATTTTGTGCTGCTTTGTTGCACTAATTGCGACCGTAGAGGATTCACGACCGGAGCGGGACGAGATGCCGAACGCATCGATTGAATTTTGCCTTTAGAAATGACAAACACATTGCAAAAATCTGGTGCTCCTTTTGAGACATTGCCAGGAACATCAGTTGCCTTGAATCTGCTTCATAAGAAGCTTGTATCAAGTTAATGATATCTACAAGAAACTTCAATGCTTTCTTCATACATAATATGCCATAAAAACGACCTTTTCAACTTAACGAACTGTTCGGGTTTGATACTCATAGCTTTTGAGTTGCACTGATCGAGTTTTTCAAGTTGAACACTTAATATGTGTAACGACCCAAACATATGGGTTGCAGATATTGTCCTTTTTGGGCTTCCTCTCAAGGTTTCCACACCCTTATAAAGGGTGTTTCGTTCTCCTCCCCAACCAATGTGGGATATCACAATCCACCCCCCCTTCAGGGCCCAGCGTCCTCGCTGACACTCGTTCGTTTCTCCAATCGATGTGGAACCACCACCAAATCCACCCCCCCTTCGGGCCCAGTGTTCTTATTGGCACACCGGCTCGTGTCCACCCCCTTCGAGGAACAACCTCCTCGTTGGCACATAGTCCAGTGTCATTTGTAACGGCCCAAGTCCACCGCTAGCAAATATTGTCCTCTTTGGGCTTTCCCTTTCGGGCTTCCCCTCGAGGCTTTAAAACACGTCTGTTAGGGAAAGGTTTCTACACCCTTATAAAGGGTTTTTCGTTCTCCTCCCCAACCAATGTGGAATATCTCAATATGTATATCTAAAAACATAATGATTACATCTTCTCCGAGAGAAAAATAGATAGTAAATTGTTCATGGGTTAGGTTAAAAAAGTCATTTTCAACTCAACCTTGAGTCTAATACTTATGGTTTAGATTGGATTGATCGAGTTTTTTGGGTCATCAGATTTTCAAACACTTGTTTAGTATGTTCACTAAATGATTAAACATTCTCCAAGAGAAAAACGTCATGGTCATGGGTAAACCCTATCAAGTCGATCCAATTGTTCGAGTTTAATATTCATGTCGAGTTTTTTGGATCATCAAGATTCTCGAACATGTTGACCTAATAAGAAAAGAAAAGAAAAGAAACATACCTTAAAAAGCCAGATTTTGATGAAGCTCCCACAACAATGTTCTCTATGGCTGTATTTGCAGCATACTCAGTTAAGGCCTTAGCTATGTCTGTATCTTCCAACACAACATCTTTGCATTGAATCTGAAACTCAGAAAATATTTATTATTATTATAATAAATAATAGATAAAAATTGAATCTTCAATTAAATAAAATAAAATAAATAAAGCTTACATCTTTTCGAGTACAAAAGCAACGAAAAGGAAGGAATAATTCTCTAACGCCAGCTTCGGGGTCAGATTTCATCTCTGCATCCAAAAAGAGCTTCATCATTATATACATATATATATATAGAATATAAAATTTAATAGAAAATGAGCATTCTAGAGAGCAAAATCAAAAAATATACTAAAATTATGTTTTTTTTTCTCAAAGGGAATTCAAAGTAAAATCTTTTATAAAAACAAATAATTTTGGGTTAGGTGAGTCACCGCACCAAATCGACCTTGCGTTGTCGATGAAATGTTTTGTTCTGTTTTAAGTATTAGATGAATGTAAACCTCATATTCACTTACGATAAAGGCTTAACTTAAAAGAAATTGATACATAAGAGATGAAATAGAAAGAAACTTTGGAAAGATTAAATTCAACAAAATATTCTCATCATTCGTTGATGAATAAAGTTTTTATTCGACTCATTAAGACATACGTCCTAATAGTAAAATGTTCTTTCTCATATCTAACCTAAAAATGACTCAATAATCCGACCAACCGGGACTACTAAATTCATACTCAAACTATAAAAGTTGGGTTTGGTTAGGCTTTTTATTTTTGATTTGGGTTAAGTTAAACTTTTGCAAAAAACAAACTTGGTTCGGGGTTAATGTTTACAAACCAATGAGATTAACCCAATCCAACCCGTATACACCTCTCATTGCTTCTTAAAAAAATATGAAAAATGAAATTTCCGAAGAATAGAGAATCTAAAACAAAATCGTAATGAAGCGGGTCTAGCTTTCGAACCTAATGGAAGCTAAAATTGTGATATGAAAAATAAAACAGTTGAGAGAGAGAGAGAGAGAGTACTTACTTAGGGAAGAATTAGAAGGGGATCTGAGTTTGACATGAACGAGGAAAACAGTTTGGCCTCTGCGAAGCAAATGATCAATTGCCCATTTGAGAGCCCCTTGGCTGCCTTTGTCTTTGTCAATGGCCACCGCCACAAATCCATTCACATTCAATCTCTCTTTTCTGTCTAAGCTGTATCTTGGTAACCACATTTTCCCCCCCTTTTTTCTTTTTCTTTTTTTCTTTTTCTTTTTCTCTCTCTAGAACAAGGATTCAAACAACCTTCATATCCCTTTCTCTCTCCCTTCTCTCATTTTCTGGTTCTTATTTATAGTTATTTTCGTTTTATTTGATTCTTTCAAACTGTAACCGTTGCCTCCATCTATTTCGACCTTTGACTATTTTTGACACTTTTTCTTGTTGGAGGAAGAGAGAACCTGAGAGTTTAACAAAAGCTTTTTTTTTTTAATTCTTTAATTTTGTGTTCTTTAAATTTTGTATCTAATACGAGTATTCCACCCGAAGCCCATTATACTAAAAAAGAGAAACTTGTCCCTCTCTTTCCTTTTTTTTCTCGCCCCATGTCGCCACACGAGAGGGACATGAAAACGTAAAAAAGAGAATCCTATCCTATAACTTGTTCCGACCTAGGATAATAAACTTATAAGCTTAGTCTTACTTCACCGTCAGAGAAACGAAAGAAGACATTCATCTCCAAATTTAACTCAGACGTAGCTTACTTCTTTCCTGTTGTGAAGCAATGTCCGAGAGGTGGTCTAAGCAAGTTGTTTGGTTATTCAACTAATAAAATTTTATATTTAAAAAATTAGTTATTTTTAAAAAATTTATATATTTTCAAAGATTTTTCAATACAAGTCTTCTAGTTGCTTTCAAACTTTTACCAATGAGAAAATGAGGATTGAATTTGCTTAAAGATGTTTTGTTTGGCCAAACCAAGATTTAAAGAATACAATGAAATAAAAATTATTTTGAAAATTTGCCAGATATCAGCTTTATGAATAATCAGATTTGTAATTAATGATTAAGAAACTGCTAAAATTTTAAATTATAAAATATTACATAAAGATCATTTTTAATTATTTAAATTGAATTGAATTCAAATAAATGAAAATATTATAAATGGTTTTGGTTCATAGGTTTCAATAAAATCTGTTTGATTCAAACCGAACCAACTTAAATTTATTGTTAATTAAAAAAATACTTTTGTTGTTTATAATACAATTATATATACATATATATAAGTCATTGAAATTATTATTATTATTATTAATTCTCAAACAACCCTTAGAAAAATTTAAGTCATTGAAATTATTATTTTAAAATAATATTAAAATTGAGTTATAAAACTTAATTCAATATTTAAAAAAAAAAATATAGAACATTTTATTTTTTTTATTAAAAACAAAAAATTGAAAGAGCCTCATCAACTCCAACCTAATCAGATTGGATTGACCAAAAAAAAAATTGACCAAAAAAAACTTGAAAATAAATAATAATAAAAACACGTTTAAAGAATATAGTAAAGTGAATTTTCGACAAATTCTTTTACGTAATCTTAAAAATATAGTTTTAGAAAATTAATAATTAAATAAATAAATAAATTCTAACTCAATAGAAAAAAATATGATAAAAGAGAGAAGAGGATGCAAAAATAAACATTCGAAACCTGGAAAATGTCGGCAACCTTTTGCTGTTGTTGCTCGAATGGTCAGCTTGGAATTTTGTCTGTAGGACGAGAGATGGGAAGATTCAAAACTCCGATGAGTTCACCTGCGAGAAGAACTCAAACAAAATGGATTTAAACAGCCATTTACACAAGGAGTTGAGGAAGACATTGAAGAATATCTCTTACTTGGTGACTTAACGAACAGCGAAATGGAAAATGAGAGTTACTCTTGATCTTCGAGCAGGCTATGGAGATCATTAATGGTGTTGAGAAAATCTTCAAGACATTTGATAAGCTTGCTCCCTTGATGCCTAATGGAATTAGTTCGGACGTTGTAGTTGTCGTTTTTTTCGTCGGACGTTGCATATTCTGCATTCTCAGACACAATTGCTTGAACTTTTTCTGCAGTTTCAAGCAATTTCTTCGCCATCGTTTGCTCTTCGGGTTCGGTGCTATCGGTCGCCTTTTCTCCATGGCTTTTGATGTAGCATCCACGACGCTCTACTTCCGGAGAGCTCACCTGAGGTTCTTCGTCTTCTTCTTCACATTTTACAGATTTCTCAAGAGATTGATTTCTTGTAGACATTGAACAACGTCTTTGCCTTTTAGGGCCTAACATGACAAAGCCAGAAAGAAGAACAAACCAATATTATTGAAGGAATTTGAAGACAGGAATTATAAGATCCATCTCACTCTTTAACCACATTTCACAAATAAGCCGTAGGAAAATGCAGTTACAGCTGTATTTCATCTCCATGAAAAAAAAATTAGGCTGTCAAAAGAACTCTAAAAGGCAATCCTGTCTCATCAGGCCTTGTAATGATATAAGTTAGCAGACCACTAAGTTCAAAATTCACCGAATGAATTAAAAGAACCAAAAAGATCTAGATCCTGAAATGGCTACTCAAGGAGGTAGATGGGAGAAGGGAACAAATGTCAGCGAGGACGCTGGGCCCCGAAGGAGGTAGATTGTGAGATCTCACATCGGTTGGGGAGGAGAACAAAGAGTGTCAGTGAGGACGTTGGGTCTCGAAGGGAGGTGGATTGTGAGATCTCACATCGGTTGGAGAGGAGAACGAAGCATTTTTTATCAGCGTGTGGAAATCTCTCCCTAAGAGATGCATTTTAGAAACCTTAAAGGAAAAGCCCGAAAGGGAAAGCCAACCCTAAAAGGACAATATCAGCTAGCAGTGGGTTTGAATCGTTACAGAAAATTTCCTCCATTTCCTCCATTACTGATCAAGAAGCAAAAAACTACTTTCTTATAAACAAACTATCAAGGCTAGTCCTTGCAATTATGTTCATGCCCCATTCCGCTAATCTCAGGGAATGCCTTGCTCGCCCAAGGCCAGGAAACAAAGGCTTTTAAGTCATTAAGTGAAGCAAAAAATGATGGTATCAAGTGTATTCAAAGGAACTCTAAAAGTGTACAAATTCACATGAAAACTTGATACCATAGAAATGTGATCAATAAGCACTCTAGGAAACAAAGAACCATACCAGGCTCTGCAGCTTCATCTACCTTCTCAACCGCAGCCTCAGGATCGCTATCAGGCTCCGTATCCGACTGATTCGCCCTCATCGATACAACATTATCAATTGCTTTGAACACCTCCTCGTCAAAGTTATCAGGAAGTCCCAATTCCTTTCTCCTTCCACTTTCCAAACACCAATACGAATCATCATCCGGCATCTCTAACTCCCATTGCTTGATAACATCATGTTCAATCAGCAAACAGTCCCACTTCCTCCTGCACTGATTCGAGTTCCGAGCCACATCCAAAGACGTGCAGTTCTCTGCAACAATTTTCCATTTCTGAAAGCTAGACAAAGCTTTCCAACAATCGGCCTCCACAGCTGCAATCACATTAACAAGAACGAGGCAATCCGCCGCTGTCCAATCCGGCGCTATACGAGACCGCGTCCGACGAGAACCTGAAACCTCCGTTCCACGTTTGCCGTCCTCCTCCTTCATTTCGTACTAAAATTTTCTTCGTTTTTTAGTTTAGAAATTCTTCAGCTCTCTATTTCAATCCAAATTCCTTTACCTATAATGCAACATCTGACAACGGAAAATCAAACGCCATTCCGTAATAGAAACCGGAAAATGTGAGATGAAATCGAAACGGTGTTGATTCGCCGACAAATATATGAAGAATCGAAGGATTACAGCAAGATTAAACGTTTGTAATCTCGATTTTCTTCGTCTATCCGAGGAATTTAGAAGTGAATCAAAGTAGAACAGAAAAGAGTGTGTGGAAAGATGGAAAGTAATCGAAATTGCAAGATAAATCGAATGAATAAGCGTTATGCTGCAATGCGGAAGATCTTTTCAGTAGAGAGAGAGAGTTGTTCACCTTACCAATTTCAGATGAAGTGAAGGAGCCAGAACCTTCAGCATTGCCCACTCGCTCGCTTCGATGCACAATCTTCGCGCTAAAATAGAAGAACGCATAAGTGCCCCATTCTCCATGGGTTCATAACGCGCACTTTCCCACTGCACGAACTGAATTTTAAATTTTAAATTCTTTTTTTTTTTTCATTTTTTCATTTTTTCATTTTTAAAGCCAAAATTATAATAGAAAGAAATGAAATTAAAAAAAAGAAAAAAAAAGTGGGTTAATTTTTCAAAAGTAAAAAGTCCAAAATAGATAAATTAAAAATAGAGAGATTAAAATGAATATTTTCACGTGCAAAATTATAATTATAATAAATTAAAGTTAAAAGTAGATGACTAAAATAGTATTTAAATCTTAAATACAAATATTTTTTTTGAATAAATAAATAAAAATAAATATATCTTGATTAACATAAAATCAACTCAAACACAGTGTTTTTATGTTTAAATATAATATATAAAAACCTTTTTCCTTAAAAAAAAAAAAATATATATATATATATATATATATATATAGATATATATATATATATATATTTATTATTGAATCCATATCTCGAAATAAAAAATTTGACACTTCTAATCTGTAAAACTGTCGATATGTCGATGAAAATTTGATGATTCGGTTGTTATTCTCTCTCTTTATTTGTCATTAGTCTTCATTGTTGTCTCGTGCATGGGCTCCTACCTCCCCTTGATTTTCAAGGTGGGTTGAGCTCAAAATAAATGTCGACCAACTAATGTGTACATCTAACTCGATTTAGATCAACATATGATTCGATCCACTTATGATGATTAAACATGAGCGATAAATACCACGTCATTCGATAATCTATTCCTTTCCACTCACTTTGGGGGAATATTAAACTTAGGCCACGTAATGAAGCGGATGAGGCAATGAAGATTGGGCGGAGAGGAGATGACAATAAGAGTGATTCGCTATCAATGTCCCCAAGTGTCCTGGTTCAATGAACCAAGGTTGCTCCACCTTCGCCTTTCATTTTCATTTATTATCATGGACCGCAAGTTAATTTCGATCCACTTATAAGGAATGCCTGGGAAACGTGGGATCTTGCAATCTACCCTTTTGGAGGCCCAGCGTCCTCACTAACATACTGTTTGGTGTCTAGCTTTGAAACTGTAACAACCCAGATCCACCGCCAACAGATATTGTCCTCATTGGACTTTTCCTTTCGGACTTCCCCTCAAACCTTTGAAAACGCGTCTGCTGGGGAAAGGTTTCCACACCCTTATAAATTGTGGTTTGTTCTCCTCCCTAACCAATATGGGACATCACAATCAGAGTCAGACACTGAACGATGTGTCAGCCTTCTCGTTGTTCCCCGAAGGTGGGTAGACATGAGGTGGTGTGCCAGTAAGGACGTTGGACCCCAAAGGGGGGTGGATTTGGTGGTGGTTCCACATCGATTGCAGAAAGGAATGAGTGCCAACGAACGCTGGGCCCTGAGGGGGTGGATTGTGATGTCCCACATTAGTTGGGAGGAGAACAAACCACCATTTATAAAAGGGTGTGAAAACCTTCCCCTAGCAGACGCGTTTTAAAGCCTTGAGAAGAAGCTCGAAAGGGAAAGCCCAGAGAGGACAATATTTGCTAGTGGTGGATCTGGGTCGTTTCAGATACCTTTTGTAATGGCTCAAATCTACCTATTCCGTGTCTTGCACTATCCCGCGACTGACTTTAATATCATTTATATCAGCCCAAACACACTGTTAGCAAATATTATAATTATTCTTGTCATGTTATATATATTATAATTTTAAAAAATAATTCTATTAAACATTAAAAAAAAATGGTCTAATAAAATCATATACACTAAATCATTTAAATATCTATAGAGAATAAATATAAATTCTAGTGATATAGGGTTGGTAAAAGAAATTCGAATTTAAATAAATTATATTAATTTTGTAAATCTTTAATTTATTAAAGTAATTATAAATTTGTGTAACTGATAAGATTATTCCGTCTTTCCCTTTGGGTGGGAAGAGAACAAACCAAAAGAAAACATTGGAGAGATTTTTTTTTTTTTTTTTAAGGTCGAAACAAAAAAAAGAATCTAATTAGAAGAGATATTTACAAGTTAGAAGAGATATTTACAGACGGAGAGTTCTTTCTTGTTGGTCACTTACTCCTATTTCAATTATTATTCTTTGGAAATTTATTATTTATTTTTGTAATAATCAGATATGATTTCCTACGGTAATTGGCCAAGATTGAATTTTTCAAAAAAAAAAATAATAATAATAAATATATTTTTTTTAATTAAAAAAATTATAATACACCTTTAAAATCTAATAATATTTCATATATATATATATAAATAAATAAAGTGAGACAAAGTTAGGGATAGAGATGGAGACATCTCGAACTTTATTTAGTTAATAGAGAAAATTTTCTCTTCCTATTTCTTCCTCTATTTATTCGGTTTTCACGAGACTCGACCTCAGGAGTTAATTGGACATCTTTACCTCTAAGGTTCGTTTAATAACCATTTAAATTTTTATTAGTAAAATTATTTTACTTGTGGTCTATTTCTATTAATTAAAAAAAATTAAATTTAAATTTAAAAATTAAGAAAATGTTTTTAAATTTTTAAATCTTTTGTAAAAAAAAAATGAAGAAAAAAACAAACTTAATTTAAAAAATTAAGAAAAAAAACAAAATGTTTTAAGGAAAGAAACCTAACAATATTAAAGATTCTGTTTAATCTCCGAGTGGGTAGAAATTTTTGTCTCCATTTCAACATATTCAATTCTTGTTCTAAAGCCAACACTTTTGACATTTTATATTCTTTTTATTTTACCAAAAATAAATTAAAAATAATAAATTTGACAGAACAGAATCTGTCTTACAACCTTACAAGTCATGCGGAAACGGATAATATATTCTATACGTCGTCGTTCGTGCCCGTCGTGGAATAGCCCCCCCCCCCCCCCCCCCCCCCCCCCCCC